AAGTATATTATTATTAACGCATAAATACAGTCATGTTAGTTTGTGTATATGTATGTTTGTATGTTTGTTTGTTTGTCTGTATGTATGTATGTGTATGTGTGTATGTATGTGCGTGTGTATGTATGTATGTATATATGTATGTATGAATTATGAATGTTTGCATGTAGGTATGTTTGCGTGTATGTATGATTTCATGTTTTATCTAGCTTTTTTATTTATAGGACCAAATGCATACAATACAAACATAAACGCATACATATACAATTATACACTGTTGTTTTTGTTCTACACAGCTGATATGTTCAATATCATTGAAAATTTTTGAATTTAAATACCAAGCTTCTGCCGACTATGTTCAAATCATTGTTCCCATTCGTTGTAGAACAGCGATATTTGATAATTTAGTTCGCAGATTTGTCTGCTGTGTTGGAGATTTAAATAAATGACTGACAGAAAACAGACTTAAGCTAGACGAGTGTAAAATTCAGCTTCTGCTTGTCGGAACCTGACAACAATCGCAAATGATTCGCGTCAACTCTAGCGACATATCTGGATCAATTATCCAGTTTTGTTCGTCTGTCAATAATCAGGGAATCATATTTGGTCAAAATATGTGTATGGATCAACATGTCAAAAAGTTGAACCAGGAATGTTCATTTCAAGTAAGAAGGCTCAGACAGATCAGAAATTCTCTTGATGAAGATATATTGAAATGTCTAGTTCATGCGTTTGTTCATTCTAAGACCGTGTGATTCATAGTCTATTGAGCCTTCACTGGCTGACAGTTAGGCAAAGAATGAAACTCAAAATTGCCATCATGGTATTCAAATACTTGAATAGTCTCAGTCCGAGTTACCTGTCTGTCTGACATGTGTTTGCATAGGCTCACACCTGCTCAACGCCTTCAGTTGCGCTCTGATTGTCAGGATCTTCTATCAGTACCAAGAAGGCAATAATTGGTTTTAGGGAACAGAAATTTTTCCGTCTCTGGTCCAACAGTTTGGAATAATTTACCATGCCACCTTCGTCAGCATGGATCAGCTCTTCAACAATTCCGTAAAAAACTAAAAACTCATCTTTTTTATGAATTAAACCACATGACTTAAGCAAAGCCTCTGAGAAGTTTTAAAGGTCGCTATAATATAAATTATCTGATAATGATAATAATATACACAAATACAGAAAGGCACTTCATAGGTGATATTAATATGATATATGATGGGTTACTTCTTATGTATATTTTAAAAGTGCAGTTTAATTAAACACATAAAAAGTACACTATACAAGTTAGAGAGGGATTAACTTTATTATAAAAAAAGATGAGTAGAAGAGAGGGGAAAAAAGAGAGAGAAAAAGAGAGAGAGAGAGAGAGAGATTCTAAAACAAACTTGACAGTTAACATTGCATTCCAACGTAATGCATATAGATAAATTAATCTATATGTATGTATTAGGATCTGTATAAATGCTGTATGTTTGTACGTATGTTTGTATGTATGTATGTTTGTATTTATTAGTTTACGTATGTTTGTATGTATGTATGTTTATATGTTTGTCAAAGCTTTCAAATAAAATTTATTTCCAATTTCCTAAATTTGGTGTTTGCTTAAGTCGTATAATGTTTGAATTTTTACATTTAATCCAGTCTCGTTTTTTCTGTGCTTTGTATGTATGTTTGTTTGTATCTTTGTTTGTATCTTTGTTTGTATGTATGGGTGTGTATGTGTGTGTGTTTGTATTTCAGTAATTATTAAATCAGACATTCATGTTATGTTTTTCTTCAATGGAGTTATTACGCATGGTTGGATATTATTTAAACACAGGTATTATTGAGCAAGTGTGTGTATGCGTGTGTATGTGTGCGTGCAGCGTGTGTGTGTGTGTACGTGCATTTATATTTTCTTGTTGCAAACCGATGACTATGAATTTTAGTATTTTTAATAATTTTTATGATTTTATTCTTCAAAATTTTAATCTAAATAAGATTTGAAATGAATAACTTCAATAACTTCCATGATCCCATTAATTTGTTTGTTTATTCATTCATTCATTTATTTTTCAGTTAATAAATACAAATAATTTGAAAAACAATTCATTCATTCATTCACTACGTAATGAATTTTGATATGTTCATCAATTTTTACAGTCATAATAAAAATACAATGTCGTTCATTTGTATTCTATTTATTTAATAATTAATTTTAATTTAACAAATAATTACATAGATTATTATTTTATTTTAATTATATTTTCATAAACTTTCAAATCTAAAGTGGTGTGAATTTTTAGAAGAACCTTTTAAAATAAAATTTATAAAAAACGAAACGACATTTATATACGTCTTTGCTAACAAATAAATACTCAAAAGAAAGAATTAGTAGATAAATGAATGAATGAATGAATGAGTGAGTGAATGAATGAACGAATGAAAAAACGAATGAATTTACCAAGGCATAGATGAATGAACGAACGTGTGAAGGAATGAACGAAAAGTGAATCAATGAATGGATGTATGAATGAATGAAAGAATGAATGAATGAATGAATGAATGAGTGAATACATATTAAATTTACAATTGAATATAATGAATACAGATATCAAATCATTGGTTAGAGTCGCCGTAATTTGGATTTCAAACTAAATGAAAATTTTAAACAGCCAAGCTCTCTCCGCCCAGAATTCTTATCCAACAGTCTCAATGTCATCTCGTACTGGCCCTGGCGAATGAAAAATAAATTTCCAGTTGGTTTTTATGATGTTTCAAATGAGTGAAGTTGAATCTTAAAATTGAATATTTAATCAGTCAGTCAGACAGTCATTCAGTCAGTCCGACAAACAGTTGGTCAGTCAGTCAGTCAGACAGACAGACAGTCGGTCAGTCAGTCAGTCAGACAGACAGTCAGTCAGTCAATCAGCCATTCATTCAATTAACAGCCAGCCAGCCAGCCAATCAATTATATAATCCATTAATCAATCAATCAATCAGTGAGTGAATCAGAATTTACCTGAGCAAAACCATGCAGCATGTGGTTAAAGGGAGGTAAGAAAATGTAATACCTGAAGCAATAAACATATTTAAAATTATTATTATATTCTTAAAATAATGTATAATTAACATATTTAAAATTATTATAACAATAATTATTATTATTATTATAATTATTGTAACATTCTTAAAAATAATGTATGATTAACATATTTAAAATTATTATAACAATAATTATTATTATTATTGTTACATTCTTAAAATAATGTATAATTAACATATTTAAAATTATTATTATAACAATAATAATTATTATTATAGTTAAATATTCGCTCTTGACCTATTAAGGTTGTAGAGGGATGGGCTGAACGGACATGTGCATGGAATATTCTTTCTCCGTAGCAATCTCGGACAGGTCACGTGAGTTGACGATGATGATGATGATGATGACGATGTTGATGATGATGACGACGATGATGATGAGGAGGATGATAATGATGACGATAATGTTTTAGTTGATGTTGACGAAGAAGAAGATGATGATGATAATGATGACGATGGTGCTGTGGTTGATGTTGACGATAAAGATGATGATGGAGATGATGATGATGATTCAGCTAAATCATCATCATCATCATCGTTATCATCATCATCAGCTTCAACGCTTCGTTCACGACGACGATGGTACTGATAATGATGATTGTTACGATTGTAGTAATGATATCTACGCTGGAGCAAGTCGAAGCTTTTAGATTCGGATGGAACCGGTTCAGATACGGATAAATTCGAGTCGGGTTCTGTCGAATATTCGGTCAAATACTCGTTTCGTTGCCGGCTCGTTTCATTGAACATATCATCTCTACTTTCATCCACATTGTTTGTGAGCAAGGATCGGTTGGTTGATTGATTGGTCGATTGGTTGGTCGATTGGTTAGTTAGCTGATTGGTGGATTTAAACTCGGTCAATTTGATATATTGACTATGATTAATGTTATTATTATTGTCATTGTTGTTGTTGTTGATGTTGTTATTCTTTTTGTTGTTGATGTTGTTGATGACGTCATCGCCAGCGCTGCTGACGTCACTGTTCGAATCTCGCTGTCGCGGTAGCCAGTAATTGTGGAGTAGATCACAGACATCGTCGTGGTGGCTGTTAAATGAATGAATGAATGAATGAGTGAATGAATGAATTAATGAATGAGTGAATGATTAGATGGATGAATGGATGGATGAATGAACAAAAGATGAATCAATCAATCAATCATCCAATCAGTCGTTCATTTAAACAAAAAAGAAATAATTAAGAATGTTTCTGAACGGTGAAACCTATGAACGACTGAACGTTCAAATGAACGAAAGAACAAGCAAAAAAAATGAATGAGTAATCTAACAAATTGATGGATGGATGGAAAAAGGGAGAAAAGATTAAAAGAATGAGCGAAAAAAAGAAGAAAATGCATCAACAGATGGTGCTAGAGTTGAGGAAGTAGTTATTTCGATACTTTTATTTTTATATTTCTTTAACATTTTTATAATGAAAGCATCTGTTGGTTGTATGTGCGGGCGTATGTGTGTGTATGCGTGCGTGCGTGTATGTGTGTGTGTGTGTGTTTATGTATGTGAGGATCACGACCATCATCATAAACCCCATCACCATCATTATCTTCATCTTTTTCTTCAACATTATCATCATCTTCTTCAATATATCTTAAACATCTTCTTCAACATATCTTCATATCTTTAATATCACCATCATTATCATCATCATCTTCAACATATCTTCAACATCATCTTTTTCAACATATCTTCAACATCATCAACATATCTTCATCATCTTCAACATATCTTCAACATCATCATCATCATCGTCTCCAACATATTTTCAACATCTTCAACATCATCATCATCATCCTCTTCAACATGTCCTCAACATCATCATCATCATCATCTTCAACATATCTTCAACTTATATTTAACATCATCATCATCATCTTCAACATCATCATCATCTTCAACATCATCATCATCATCTTCTTCAACAATATCCTTAGCATCAGCCATAAATCAACAAAACGTTTTAGAAGGTGGGAAAGTGAGCATTGAAAAAAAAACAACAAAAACAAAAATAATAATGATAACAATAATAAAATAAAAAAATAATAAAATAATAATAATAATAATAATAATAATAATAATAATAATAATAATAATAATAATAATAATAATAGTAATAATAATAATAATAAAGATAAGAAGAATTTTTTGTAAGTAAAAACTTCGCTAAATTAACACTTTGATACACGCCATTCGATAATTCAATTGGAGAACTTTACAAAACAAAAAACATCAAAATAAATTTTCAGCGATATCA